CATCCTTGTCACCAGTCTTTGATTCTTCTTTCCAGCTCTTTGACCAGCTGGCTAACCCATTAGCCACTGCCCATGAATCAGTAAAAAAAATCTATACTCCAAGCCATCTATCTTATAGCAAAGTAGATATTACCTTAAGTTCTGCCCACTGGGAGGATTTCCCTTCACTGTCTTCCAGGGCTACTTCTGTCCACTTTTAGCTAATGCCAGCAGTATCTGCACCCACCCATTATTTTCTTCTCCCACTGGCTGACACAGGGAACTCTCCAATGAGGCCAACTGAATTAAGGAAGAAACAGTGAGGCAGTAGGAGCATATGCTTATACTTAGTCCAGTTACTATGTCGTTAGTGTAATGGATCAAAATGACCTGTTAAGATATCAACATGATCAAGATCCTTCAGGATTATGATAGAGAATATGAGTTGATAGCGCTGAAGCAAAGAAAGTATGTTCCTGTAAACTAATTTTGATTACTTGGCAGACAGCGATGAGCAGAAAAAACATTTGCTAGGTTAATAGCACCATGTCAAGGCCAAACATGTTGATCTTACAATTCAGAACTATATTCAGAATAGCTAAATTGGTTATGATCATGGGACCACTGCTCATGATCATGTTTGGTGGTACCATTAATCCAGGATTCTTCAGGGATTCATTTCTCTACCTTGGTGTGTGAGCTGGCAGGGTGGGGGGTACAATTCTAGAGGTTTGCCCTTGACCTTTCCAAACCTAATATTCCTCCTTTGATTAGCCAAAAGACAAATGAAGGTACTTCACCAGTTACTAAGGATATCTAGCCTAATCCTATATTCTGGTAATGGGGTAATAGGATGGGAGCCATCATTACACATTATCCACTGATGACTCAATCCAAGACATTGCCTATCATTTGACCTCCAGAAGTTCCTACTCTGACCATGGTCAACGGCCTCATGTTTCCAGGTTTAAAAGTTGGAGAATATACAGTGTGTACTTGTGGTCATGTTTTAATATTCTTCCATGAACTGTGAATCTGCAAAGTTTGAGTGACAAAATGCAAGAAGTGTTACTTTTAAATTAGTGGTTTATAGAAGTAAAAATACAATCCAAATAATTCAATTTTCACATTAAGGACATTTGTCCTCCTAAAATTATAGCCAATTTCTGATTTCTTTTGGAGATTTTTCCTGTCATGTGTAGTCTTGGTGAGACTAAGCTGTCAAGGGATGGAAATTAACCCCAATTAGGCCAACTAGATAATCTCTTCAGGTTTTGGGTTATTGAAGTGTCAAAAAGACATTAGAAGAGATCTGACCTCACTGAGGAACCCTTAAGAGGACGATCTCTCAGCTCTTCTCACTGATAACTGTGAAGATGCCCTGCTTTCTTCCCCTTACAAACCTAAACTTTTATCCTGTGAAGTACTCTATCACCCTCCAATAAATATCTCTTCTGCTTTAGCTGGATTCAGTCTCTATTGCATGCAATCAAAAAACTCTAGCTGAAACAGAAACTGGAGTAGTTCTTGGAAGGAGTCCATGAACTTTTTCCAAAGCTTAGTGCTCTGCCTTATTGTAATACTCAGCTCCTGTATTATTTGATTCAAATTCTCTGAAGAGAACTGATTGGTTCCATTGTCCATCCCTTTTCCCATAGTGCTTGGGGGTATTCCTTTTATAGTTCCCGTGTAAATGCAGCCAACCCATAACATTTTCTCCGCAGCCTGGAGTAAGCTGAAGAGTGACTAAGTAACCTAGAATTAGATTAAAATACCTATGTAAAGCACTTAGAAAGTTATTGCTTGATCTTCAACACCAATGTGCTAGAAATTAACCCATAACATACAGGTCTACACAACCTCATGCAGACAACACAAACAGCACAAGCAGATCAGATGCAAAAAAAAAAAAAAAAAAAAACAAAATAAACCTTCCCCTTACAAGGACTACCACAAGAGCCCGGAGAAATCTGAACCATAGTGCTCTATATTATGGACATGTCATGTGGTCATTTGTACATGTGCACACAAGGTATGCTGATGCTATTACTAGAAATCTTGCTTTAGCTCCTACCTTTAAAAAAGCTTCCACAGCCAGAACCTCACATCTGTTCCTCCTTCCCCAACATCATAACCCATCCTTTGTCAAAGGCAGTTTCCCTCCTGATTCTCTCCTTTAGCCTAACATCCCAACTAAAAAATAGAACCAGCATTTCCAAGATTAGTACCTTTCCCCTCTCAAAGACCCAGAACTCTAACCAACCTGGGTCCTTGTTAGTGGTCATGTCATGAAACCAAATTTATCTAATGTGTTGCTTAAGGGAAGAACTATTATAATCACTTTCCAGATGAGGAACCTGAAGTTCCGAAATTTAGGAAACCTGACCAAAGTCACTAGATAATAATAAATTTAAACTACTTCTGAACTCTAGAATGTTTTTAACTATGCTACATTGACTTCTGTTGCTTCTAAATTTTAGAAACATTCTGCAGTTCTAGGTAAAGAAAAACTAGCATTTTGATTGGAATTGGCATATAATTACTTTGGAACATTTTTGCCAGTTTTCCAAACCAGGAGTTTTTAAGTTTAATGAGGCATGCTGTTTTGACCCTGCTAGTGAGTCTGTATTTCAGGGTGGTCGGTACATGCTGGTTTAATGGTCTCTACCCTCAACTAACCAATGTTTCATTAGCTGAGCTCACAAAAATACCTATGGGTTTTCAGTGTCAGCCATACCACCCACTCTTCTCTCAAAGGCCCTAGCCTAGAGGGTTGACTGTGGCATGACACCAATTTGATCCTTTTGGATTCTGTGTATCCAAAACAATCAAAATTTCCTTTCCCTGTTGAATTTTGGTCCAACATGCCAACAATAAAATGGCACTTGGCTTTCCAGAGAAAGAAACAGTAATGTTAACTAACTTCCTAGTTCTGGTTGCTACATTTCAAAATTGCTGCTGCAGATGTATTATTTCCAGACTTAGTTGGGTTATCCCAACACCCGTTCCTCAGCTTGTTTTTGGTTCCAGAACTTGGTTCCTAATCCTTTTCACTCACTGATAATCCTTTAAAACAAGCTTAACTATCCCTATCCCCCATCTCCATATCCAAAAACTTGCTATTAAATGTGACCATTTTGGCTTTCTGGCTACCTGTCTATTTATCAGAGCACACAAATATTTAGGGTACAATGATGTAAGCTTACAATCAAGTGAAGAACACTTTATACCCTGACGCAAAGTCAATTATATGAATTAAAATCAAAGGCTCAGAAAACCACCATGAACACAAGCCAGGGGGTAAGGTTGCTTTTCTAAGAATAAAAGTGGGAATCTTTAGTCTATGAGACAGATTGAGGAGGAACATACTCTGAGCCGATAAAATATAAGGCAGCCTAGTGTGGTGGGAAAAACACGGACTAGGAGCCAGAAACCTAATTTTCAGCCCTAACTCCACCAGCTGCCTCCTGCAAACCTTGAGAAAGTCATTATTTCCACAGCCAGAAAATATTTACTATTTCGACAGCCTTTTAGCTGGTGTCTTTGTCCCTCATCCACTCCTCTTCAACTATAATAAAAAAACATGTTAAAGTGTCTAAACAATACACAATGTCTAAGATTATCAGCTCTGGAGCCAAGAACACATGAGTTTGAAGGTCAGTTCCAACATTCCCAAGTTTCATAATTTCCTCATGTGTAAACAGGGATATCATCTACACTTCAAAAAGTTGTGGGATTAAATACTACTCAATGCTTGGAATATTTAGGCTTAAATGTTAATTACCTCACTGCTTACAAAATTCTAATGGTTTTCTATTGCCTACAGAATCATATTCAAATTCCTAAGCAACACAAAAGCTTTCAAGTAAGACTCCAAATTAGTATCTCAGCTCCTATAATAAACTCCATCCCACCATCAGGCATTGCTCAGGAAACTTAGCAGAGAGGTTAAGTAACTTAACCTATACCACACAACTGCCTAGGCAGTTTGGCTCAGTTGATACCTCTTAACCACAGCCACCTAATGCTTATTCAAATCCCTAGGCTGAAGGGAGATCTTGCTATTCACCTGGAGATTCCTGAAGACCTGTCAAACATTTCTACAATCCTGATTGTCAACCCTGATACTACTCCTATTGACTACCAGTACTTACTGATGTTTCACAGTACAAAATCAGCAACATTTTGTTACAAAATTGAGATCCACGTTTACTCACGACACATTTAAACCAACTATGTACAGGAATTATCCTGGGTACTGGGGACATATATGATAGTGAACAAGTGTTAGGGGCAACAATAACTCAAATGAAAAACCCTATAGTTACTACTACTGGTCTAATAAGAGCTTGGCACAGAGTGTTACTTTGATAATGTGCGCACCAGAGCCAATGCTAAAGAGAAAGCAAAAATCTGTACATAGATTTTATAGAATATTTACAGCCAGTAATGTGCCAAATACAAAGTATAGAAAAACTGGCAATTATGTGATGGACTGAATAAAGGTGATGAAAGTTTATCATAATCTTATCCTTCATAACTCTTTAAATACCTCCAAGGAACTTCATTTTTTATTAGTGTGACCATATATAGCAACTTAAATAATTCAATCCTGTGAATCCATGTGTATAATAAACTGAAAAATGAAGAATGATGTAGATATTTGCAAAGTTTGTTCTGAAATTCTAATTGTTTTCTGAAGATGCTGATACATGGTTTGACAAAACACCAGGAGGAAGTATGTGTCATCCTACCTTTAGAAACACTTAAAAATTAACTGCGATTTAAAAATAAAAGTGCGCAATTTGAACAAACGTTATCTCCAAGAAGTTAAACTGGCAAAAAAAAAAAAAAACTTAGCTAAGACACATACCTAAACTGTTAAGGCTTATATTTGTATGTCACATATTATTTGGCTACTGAAAAATTAGAAAGATTTGCATTTCCAAGTCTTTGTTGAGAAAGCAAAATCAGTGCAATGCAACCCAGAATGTCTAATTAATAAAATTAAGAAACTAAAGTAATTTTGTTACATAAATTAACCCATTTATTACAGGCTAGCAATATTTCAAATTGTGGAGCTTCTACTGGTCTTTCAATTCCTTCAGTCTTCTGATGGCAGACTTTACTGTGACGGCAGAAGTGGTGCTGGAAAGAAAAACAAATTTGGTTCCAACATAATTAACTATGTTAACATATGAAATGCCTGAATACATTTGCCTCATTTTTACATTATAATCTTAATGATGGCATCTTTTTAGAGTCATGATGTATGCTCTTGCAGAATTAGACAGGCAAGCTCATGCATCTGATTTCTCAGACAACAGAGCATAAAAAAATTAACAGAAATGGTTGCAAGAGGCTGACCTAACCTCGTTAAAAGGGGATGAAAAAAATGTCAGAAGAAATATGACTACGAAAGTTTTGAGATTCAGGAACTGTACCTGAAAAACCATCATTCCTCCTCGTAAGTATATGAATGCTAATTCATTTTACTATCACAACCAAGAGAGCACCCCAGTCTTTTTCCCTTCTGCCCTCATAAAACCCTACGGAGGCGCATATATCTATATATCCACGATAATACAACATTTCCCAATGTTTTATAGTGCTTCAATTTTAAATTTAAATTAAAAATTTAAGTTTTTCAACCACACTAGCCATTTTACATGTGTGTGGCCAGTATACAGGATAACGCAATGTAAACACCGGCTAGAAGAACGCCTCGGCCTTCAGGGTCAGCAACGAATTCCAAATTCCAAGATTAGAGGCTTTGACTTACAGAAATGGATGAACATTAAGTGGTGACCCAATCTATAACCAGTATAGAAAGGTTAATCTCAGCAATATCACCTGGCTCTTGTCCAGAACACAAAGCTTAAAAGGTCCAACCAATACTATTTAGAATAATAGCAAAGGTGTGGTGGTCCACATGGCCTCAAGTTTCCACATACAGGAATAAGCTAACTGACCTCTTTTTATGAAAGCAGCTTGCAATGCCAAATCAAGGTTCAGTACAGACTCAGTCCCATTAACGAACCTCTACAATATGACAACGTTCATGACGATGCTCCTAAACTATAAAATTCTAAAGTAACGTAGACTTTATCTCAGTGCTTTCCTTTCTACTCTTTGAATAACTGAAAACTCACTTGTACTTTCAAGTCCTGAAAATACAAAAGCATTCCTACTTTCTCAGTCTTGTAGAGTTAAAACTAGCCCATACAGCATTGAAGCTGGAAAGTGACATGGTCCATACTTCCAAAATACCACAAAGAAATGAACTCACTTGTAGGTCCAGGCACCACCAGCTACTGTTTTCATGCAGGAACCACAGTGCCAGATTCCCACAGCTCTTCTCTTCATCTTGGTCTGTAAAACACAATCAATTTTCCCTATGAACCAAATGTAAGCCTTTTACCTGACGAACATGCTGGAGTCTAACTTACACTAGATAATTAAAGTTGGCGTGTTTTATGACATATTGTGGTTCTAATACCACAAAGCTCTCTAATGCAAAATTTGCATTCACCACGGTGATACTGCCAGAGATGTGCAAGATCCCACTCCATCCTCCCACCCAAAAAAATTGCTGTAACACAGTATTTTGCAAACATATATTGAATGAAATTATCTAGCAGCACCGGTACACCAAAGTGACAGAATCATTTCCCATAAAACAGGTTTGGCTTCGGCCAGGGCTCTTTGTCAAATAATGTTTTATCCTTTAGTTTCCAATTTCTTTTTAACGAAAAATGTTTTACAAAAACTAAAATTAGCAACATCGTCATCCCACAACTCATCAACAGTATGTGCGATTCTAACTGCTCAACAATTTCGAACCAGCACCTGTTTATCAAATTTCTTCAACAGAGGCCTCATTATGTAAGGATATCTTCGCTCCGCCCCCCCTCCCCCCCAATAGAGACCGTCTTACTTTGCCACAGAAGGAGCAAGTGTACTTGGCGTGCTGGCTGATTTCAATTTTCTTCACCATTTTCCTGAGGGAGGCGCCATAACGAGTCCCGTATTTACTGATGATTCTGACCTTAGTGTGTTCAGCCATGTTGCTGAAAACCAGGTCAGAACCCAGAGAACCCAATGATATCTTATCATTGCGAAGCTAGGTTTTTGGTGGCTGCTGTGATAAAAACCAAGTACTGCATGAAAATCAGTATGGAACAGGAAATGAGAGTGACAGTGCCAATCTGATTCCAAGGTTTGAGAAGGTGTCAGTGTCCAAGAGGCACACAAATCTCACTAGTAAGTAACTGTAGTTCTGTAAAAATGAAGTACAAGTTTTTTCTTTTATGTGTATTGTATTTTTCAAATGGCTAAATTGTTAGGACATACATATTTATTAAATTTTTGGACACAGCTACATAATAAAATAAATAGAACTGTTTGGGCCTATGAGTTCTGTGAAAAAATTTTTGAGACAATACGAACTGTGAAAGTTTGGGACCTCTGGCTTACTCTGTAAGGTAATGTCTTGATACGCACCAT